AAGGAATGAATCTTTTTAAATTATTACAAAATAACACTGTTTTTAAAACAGAAAAACACCAATCTGTTATTTTTAAAAGGTCATCAGCAATACACCCCCATATCAGACAGATTTGCTGCACTAAAATTTACACATCTGAGCAGAAGCAGATTTTTTTAGCAGATGTACAAAGGCCACTTGAAGTCACTTATCTGAGCTAATGCGAATGAATCTTTTTAAATTATTACAAAATAACACTGTTTTTAAAACAGAAAAACACCAATCTGTTATTTTTAAAAGGTCATCAGCAATACACCCCCATATCAGACAGATTTGCTGCACTAAAATTTACACATCTGAGCAGAAGCAGATTTTTTTAGCAGATGTACAAAGGCCACTTGAAGTCACTTATCTGAGCTAATGCTGAAATTAACCTCTTCAGCCCTGTTCATGAAACCCTGGAGTGCCAGTGTCTGACGTGTCTTGGACAGGGGTGGACAAAAGGGCCTAAGCGGATTGATCTGGCCCACGGAGGCCCTGCTGCTCCCCTATCTGCAGGCCCCCCCCACCAAAAATTATTGCCCATCTCTGGTATATACATACATGCACACACACTGACCTAAACCCTAGGTAAAATTCTCATTGTTCATGCAGTTTCATTTACCGCAAATAGTAGGTGAGGTAATATCGTTTATTGGACCAACTTCTGTTGGTGTGAGACAAGCTTTTGAGTCTCAGTGAGATGAGGTGATCCAATAAAGATATTACTTCACTCAATAGCCTGGAGCTGCCATAGCTATAGTTACATTGCATATATGGTGCAAAGAGTAGCTTTTACACAGCTACCTATTTCATTTGTGGGTGCAATCAGACTGCTTGATGGGGAAAGTCACCCCATTTCTGCCTTCAAACTTCTGGCAGCAAGTATTTGTAAGAGCAGAGCATCTCCTGAAAAATGACACTTATTTCAAACTTGGGCCTTATGTTTGTTCTATGTTCATTAACCAAATCAGAGCTGTCAGAGACTCAGCTGATCTGCTTTTTCTAAAGGACAGCTCTTATAGAGAGGGTTTCTAGTGACTATTTTTTATTCCACACAACAGTTACTTTAGGTCAAAACAGAGTTAAATTTCCTTGTGTTTCCTTACCATGGTTCTCTTCATCCAGTCCATCATCTCCCCACTGCTCTTCATTTGCTAGCAGTGGATTCTGTGATTCACACAACATTCTCATTGGGAAGGAATGTCCATCACCCTGGCTGGGGAAACATAGGCAGGAATAAGCTACATCCTACTTGTTTCATCTGAAGAATGAAATACAACTTTACTCCTTGTTTTAGGTTTAACTCAAGACCAATCCAAATCTGTGAATGTCCAGAGATTACTTTTAAAGGACTAAATTCTGGAAAATTCTAGTTTCAGATTTGAAACCTTCTTCTGACAGAAGTATTTTCAAGTGACTTTGATGCTGAATTCTTGCAAAAGATCAGAGGGATTAAGATTATAGTCCAAGTTCATTTCTGGTATGAGTCAAATAGAGTTGAATTTAGCCCAGTCATCTCTCTATATATTTTAGAGATTTTTGTGTCTGTCTGTCTGTGAGTCTGTTTGACCAAGAACTCCTCCTACATGGTCAAAGATGCACTAATTTTGGTAGGCAGCTTCCTCTTCTCCTAACTTAAAGCAAGGTCAAGGTTTGGTTGTGCCAGGACAAATGGAAGTACAAGGAAAGAGACTGTTACTGAAACATAGAAAAGGAGGGACTGGGCTGTCTGGGGGGATGCAATACTGAGTGTGTCCACTGGGGGCTGCCAGTCTGCAGGGGAGAGCTATTCTGCAGAGTGTCCACTGGGGGCAGCTGTATCACCAGAGTGGCCAGCAGAGGCCATCTTGCCTACCAGCACACAGGGTTAGTAGCCCCCCGTTTCCCAAGCCTTTTCTCTTCCCCTGGCCTGTGGCTGCAGTGCCAGAGAGATCCCTGGCAACCAAGAGGAGTTAGGGGGAGAGAAAAGGCCCCCGGTGTTTGGGTGGCGGCGTGTGAGAGAGGATTTGAGGTGAGAGAAAAGGCCCTCCCGCCCTGAACCCCTCCTCAGCCCCCCCATCCTCATTATCACACCCCCTTCACTCCCAGCCTCCTGTATTGCCCCCCGCCCTGCTCTGACTCCTGCACCCCCCCAGACCACCAGCTTCCTGCCCTGAATGATCCAGAAAATACCAGGTAAGTCTTCTAGTTTAAATATAATTAAGACAGATCGCTAATTGTAATCAGTCTAGTGTATGTTTGTGTGTGTGAGAGAACGACTGACAGACACACACTTATCCACAGAGAAGGTGCAAAACACCTGTAAACTATGGAGCTGGGCTCCGTGGCAGTTGCATTCGTCCATGTTAACAGGAAGCCTTGGAGGATAAGGCAAAGATGTTTGCTGGTGGGTCTACCACTGCCTAATCATCTTTCAGTCAGCAGTAAAGGTGCAGGCATAGCAATGAGATTGCAGTAACTATTGTTTAGGAGTGACTCCCTACCACTTCTCAGTCTAAATGGGAAGATACCAACTTCACTTGACTCTTGCAGAATTCGACACTACATAACTACCTGAGACTCAGGGACCAGGATGAGGCCCTTACTTTCATGATACTGGCTTCTTTTCCAGTTTTTTATTACAGCTTACCTGGATACAACTGGTAGTAACCATAGCTTCTTCTCCTCTCCAAACACTTGCTGAAGATTCTTTTTAAAACCCAGATTGAATCCGTTTTTATCTGGCCCATTTTGGAACACCGGAGCAGAGAATGCCTCTATGGGTAGATACACAAGAAACAAAGAAAAGATGCAAATGTTAAATATTTTATGCTAAGGCTGCAATATAATATGTCATAAGATTTTTCAAAACCTTGCTTTGTTACACATTAAAGTCATGACAAATCCTGAGATCCCTTCCTCACTTATAAACTTCATCAAAATCAAAGGAAGCCCATTTAGACTACTAGAAAATAATACAAATTTTAATCAGTGCAAAGTAAATTGTGGCATGCTATGATCAGTATCCAACTTTGAGAACTACAGGCTTAGTGTACTCCAGTGGCCACCAACCAGTAGATCGGGATCTACTGGTAATTCTTGGAGCCTCTGACAGGTGATCTTGACTGGTTTAGCTAAGAGGCTATCAAGTGCCAGCACTTCAGCTGACCCTTCCGCCCCCCACTGCTGCACCTCTCCTGCCCTTTGCCTTGGAGCTGCCCATCCCCCTGGGAAGCCTCCTGCTTTCTGGGCAGGGCAAGGAGGGAGGGAGGGGGTGCTGATATCAAGGTGCCTCTTCCCATTCCGTATCCTTTCTCCACAGAGCAGAGAGGGGCACAACAGGACTTGGGATGGAGTTTGCTGGCTGCTTTTGGGACTGGTGCAGGGCCAGGATAGGGGTGAGTCTGCCTTAGCCCCATTGCTTACCACCACTGCCACCTGAGGTAAGTAGTGCCCAGTCAGAGCCCACATGCTGAAACCCTACCCCAGTCATGACCCCTTTCCTGGTCCCCAAGTCCTTGCCCTAGCACCTGTGCATCCCAACTGCCTGCTCCAAGCTCAGCTCAGAGCCTCTCTCACACTGCAGATCCCTTAATCCAAGACCAGAGCCTGCACCCCAAACGTTTGCCCCAGCCTGATGAAAGTGAGTGAGGATGGGCCAGAGAGAGAGGTTGGAGGTAGCAGGTGCAAGGCCTCGGAGAAGGGGCAAGGGTATTTATAGAGGAGGTAGATCTCAGAATGCACTTACATTCAAAAAGTGATCTAATGCTTTAAAAAGTTGGAGACCCCTGGTGTACTCAATCAGAGGTACACATACCCCTGAGGATACACAGAGGTATTCTAGGGAGTATATCAACTCATCTAGACATACGTAGTTTTAAAACAGGTTATATACAAATCACTAGCAAAGACAGTATAAATTAAAATTTCAGTGACTTATTTATGCTGCTCTATCTATATTTATTTTTAGAGAGTTTGTGTGTCTGTCTGTCCATTAGTCCATCCATTCAAGAATTCCTTTGAAACAAAAAGAGTTAGGACCATCAAATTTGGTATGTGACTTCCTCTTACCCTAACTTAAAGCAAGGTTTGGTTGTGCCAGGAAAATGGAAAGTACCTGGAATGGGTGGGCTGTGCCCACGAAAGCTCATGATACCATCTACATCAGTGGTCCCCAACACGGTGCCCGTGGGCACCATGGCACCCGCGGGGGCATTTGTGTGCTCCCGCCAAGTGCTCGGGGCTGGCCCCGCCCCGGGAGCATGGTGCATGCGCGGTGCCGGAGCCGACCCCAGGCGCATGGGGGGTGCTGGCTCTGGGAGTGTGGTGAATTGGCTGCCCGCGCCCCAGGCGCGTGGCTATGGGGGGTGCCGGCCCCGGGAGCACGGCGAAGTGGCCACCCGTGCCCCGGGTGCGCGGCACATGGGGAGCGCCGGCCCTGGGCGCA